AGGCTGCGAAGGCTTGTGCCTAAATATTGACTTATATATGTACCATTAAAAACTTGAAGTAAACTCTGCCTATTATGAAAAAAGTCTGCTCTTTATACAAAATGCTTACAGAAATCTCCAACCACTAAAAGCAAATAATTTTTTTTTACCTTGTGTTCACAGATCGTTTACCAATGAAAATGATAAATTCATAATATCTATACCAATAACATGCAAAGAATTGTTAAAAACAAATTAAAAATATCATTCAATAAAAGATATTCTTATAAATATGAATTAATTCCTTTAACTTGTAAGCATACTTTTATAATCTTTTTTTTTTGCATTGACACTTACTTATCTAATGATGGTTAAGGAGGGATAACTCCAAGTGACAAGATTACTCTCCATCTCGTTATAATAATTCATATAGTAGACATTAAGTGTTTCATCAGATGGTGAAATGAAATAGAAAGTCTAGACAACATGCACATTATCTCACGCCAAAATACTTCAGGAACAAGTAGTGTCTTTAGCGCAAACATGAACTATCTATATATTTATATTTCAGCAAATAATAAGTTCAACGACGTAATTTTCATATTTCCTGTAAACTTTTTACTTAAAATCATTGCTTCTACAAGCCTCTGAAAAAGGTCTTTATTGACTTAGCAGTCAATGACTCTTTAACTCAACATTTAACACAACATCTTCCTTTTACTTGATAACTTCACCAATGAAATAATCAAAGGAACTGATGAACCACCATGTGAAATATTTTTACCTTTTTGATATCTTGGAGATTTAATAATATAAAAATAAAAAGAAAAAAGTGATTTTTAAAAAGTTTATGAAACCTAGCATGAAATAAAAAGTAAATTATATATAAATTGTATAATGTATAAATGCTTTAACAGATAAAATAAATCATATCAATTACATCAAATAATTATAGATTGAAATAAAACTGTGAATAAAATGAAAACAAATCAGCAAACAGTTAGAATATTACATAAAATAATTATAAATTTGCATTGCTTGATTTTGCAAAAGTCAATTCTTACATCAAGTGATTATTGATAGCCACCTGACTCAAATCAAAGCCAAATCAAACATTTACGTACGTGAAATGATTATTGATTAAAATTGAATGAAACATTTGGCAGAGATCAGGAAAAGAAAATCAAGCGATTGATTTAATATTGGAATTGATAAATTATTGATAAAGAATTACAAACCAAAAAATTATCTAAATTAATCATAACCATATCGAACAGGTGCTCTTCTGTTTCTTTGGGGTAGAACTCTGCGTGGTATAATTAGAGGCTTATTGGGTTTTCTACAATGTTTAGAAGATAATTCGACATATATAATGCTTTAAGAACTGAGAGTTTTTTTGGTAAATTTTCACATAAATTATATATATTTCAACAATATCCCTTATGATATTGTTGGTTTGCCTATGTATGTAAATAAGAACTCCTGCAATACCTACAAAACGAGAAAATTGTGGTTGTGATACTTAGAAGAAAGAAGAGTAATATTCTCTTACAGCATCAGGTTCTTCTTCAAAATAAGTGGGTGTAGACAATGGGTCTTTAATTCCTTAAGTTGAGCTTGCTGATGCTTTTGTAGAAATCTACAATTTATGTGCAAGATGTGTAAAAATGATTAAAAAAAACAATTTTTTTTTAAATTAAACTAGAGTTCATAACTTTACTATGTATATATCATATGGACGTAGGAATGCAAATCGCCATTGTTAGTTGACAGTACGTCGTCGATATATCTAAAAATTGAGTTGAAGGCCACTGCAAGTGCTTTCTTCTTTTCGCGCATAAGATATTGCACAAGTTCTGTTTCATATGAATATAAAAAAAAGGTCTGCTAATAACGGAGAGCGCTTGGTACCCTTGGGAATCCAAACACTATGCCGATAAGGATTAACTTCAGGGACATGATCATGGTCACCATTTTCTTACGCACGTTTCTTCGAATAATGAATTTCGAGACCGATTTTATTAGTAGTATGACTGACACCTGAGGGGAGTATACAATAGGGGTATTGTGTAAGAGAGCAATGGAGGGTACAATAGAGACCAAGATGACCTTGTCCGACTAATGGTCGAGTGCCCTTGGACAATGGTGACCCTTGACCTACAAAGGGGAGAGTACAAGGGAACAATGGGGTATAGAAAAAAGGGAACAATGCAGAGTGTGGAAAACCCAGTGACGTCAATAAAACCAAACAATATGTTCAAAAAGGGTTGTTCAAGGACCCTTACTAGGGATTTTCCATCAAGGATTTCGTTGGTACCCCTTTATGGGTTTTTGTTCTCCTTTATACGTAGTGATACGAGTAATAATGAGACACGGAATCAAGTTATACAATGAATAAAGAATTTCAATATGAAGACGAAAAGTGAAAAAAAGGACGCCTTGGAGATTTCAATATGACCTGTATAGTGGAGATGGTATTCAACTGTGTAGCCACTGCCAATGTAATACACAATAAGAGTAAAAAAATAAGGGTACGATATTAAAGTAATGCACTCATTCAAGAAGCGTTGACTTTTAATGAGAGGCGGTTTACTTTTACATAAGAAGAATATATTGTCTCTTCCGTTTGCAAGTAATGTTAGAGTTCCTTATACCCACAGAATCACTGTTTTTTTCTTAACAATTCCATATATTGATACATAATACATAAAAGTTAAACTGTCAACTGTAAGAGTCAATGCTTCTCGAAAAAGTTCATTACCTGTAGGATACAGGTAATAAAAAATTGGAATAAACGGATCCAATCAAGCATATGAATAGTAAATTTGTAGTAAATAAATCCAAGCATGCGAGTATACAGTTAAATGGTTACGTCTGATGTTTTCAGAAAGGATGTTTTCTCTTTTTGTCTTTCCTTGCAGTCCCTTCTCCAAATCAAAGTACTCAGAAGTACTGAAAGCCGGGCTCATTTACAGGGTTATGAACAAAGACCACGATGACAGTTAAATCAAGCTGATTCAGCCATTGAAAAGATGATTATATATATCTATGCCATTTATACATGTAGCATTAAAAAGCTTTGTATCATTTCGGGGTTTTACATACCAACAAAAGTAAATAAACACTGATGCAGCACTTTGAGATCATTTAAGGTCACACAATTATGCACAGATGGGTCCTCAGTGGGGAGTTTTGCATCAAAGCGTACACCAAGTCATTAATGATACACTTCCCCGCATTTGTATTAGCCTGATAGTACACCCTCTATTTATAGAATATGACGCAGACAGGGATACCTGTTGAATACCTTTCGCATATTTTAACCAAATAATTAATCAGCGAAAACGATAGAAAGTATTTTATTATAATTATTTTTTGACAATTTCAGATGACTATGAAAGTTTAATTCAGTGTTTGTATAAACTATTGCCTCAAAGGTGATTGCGCAGATGTACTATATTCTAACTCGTAAATTTGATTTGGCGGTGAAGAAGCAGCATTTTCTGTTGCTCACCGTCGCAATAGCCGGGCATTTCTCTACGAGAAATGAGCCCGGCTAAAAATGACAGAAACAATTCAAAAACATTTCTTATTTTAATTAAAGTAAAATCAAAAAAATTTCATTTTCAGACCAATCCACACCGCGCTTATCTGAAAGAAATAAAATAATTTCGATGAAAGACTTATCAATTTTTCACAGATAATTTTTATTCCCCTTATTTGGTTTTTTTCCAATAAACTTTAAAGAATACTCTAAGTCCAAAGAAGAATTCTTTATACGATAAGAATTTAATGACCATATATTATATTTGAAAACTACTTACGATGTTTCTTTGTTTTCCTCCTTGATTTCGCCCTGATTGGTACTACTGGAATAATAACAGTTCAATATAAATTTTTAAAAATACATTTTAAAGGAGGAAAAAATCAGGTATGATTTGAAAAAAATAAATCACTTACTCATCACTTATAGTGATGATGTCGACAATGGGACTGTAAAACAAATCAATGTTTAATAATGATGTGTAAGAAGAGTATAGATTATTTTTCGTATTTTAAGACTAATCATTGCAATAAATATACTACCGGATTCCTCCTCCTTGTGGCATTTAGTGGCTGTCTGTACAGAAGAAAATAAAAGGGGGAAAATAGTTAAAATATTTTACTAACAATTTAGAAGATGAAGTTTGACCAAAATCCTTTTAGAAAAAAATACTAACCCCAATGCCGCCGCGGGGCGCTGAGGGGTCTCGCTATAAAAAGAGCAAAGGATACACAATTTGCAAATGAAAGAGTATACACTATTGCCTTTAATATGAAGAGAAAAATTGTCTAAAATCATGACGAAAACAATACTAACTCTGTTGCCTCACTTCTCGGCGTTTACTGGGTTCTCTATTTTAACAGAAAAAAGCGTCGAATACATAATTTGAATATTAATTAAAGTAAGTATAAATTCATTTTTATTGATTATTTTCTCTCGAAAATTTTCCGTAAAATAAACTTACTCAGTGTGTGTACTGAAAAATGAGATAAAAATGCAAATTGAAAGATGATCTTTTATGGTAACATTAACAAATCTCAATTTAAAAAAATATATATGATTTTTTAAATGTAATCATTAATCTTGATAGTGAAAAAAATTAATGTATGTTAATTTTACCCGATAATAATACCTTCGATGAGAATTATTTATGATGAACTAAGTGAAAAAGAAAGAAATCTTTTCAAGTAGAAAAAGGTAAAATTTTGGGAAATACCTAGTCATTGGTGCCCTTCTTTTGTTGGAATAATAATCCATGCTATAAATGAAAAAAACCTATAAATTAAAATTGGACATACCTGAGGCTAAAGAATAACATCCGAAGAATCATAACTACAGGAAAGAATAAAAATACTCACGGGCAGGGCAGTCTCCCCAGTTGTGCACATATTGTAGTTAATTTTTCAATGATTTCCCTAACATCATCACAAATACAATGCCTTAAAAATAAATAAATAAATATCTCTGAAAAGAAGTTTCACTTCTTTTTCTGACTAAAAAATGAGAAAACATGAAATACTGTTCCATGTTGAAAGAGGAGGGTCCAAAATTGGGGAACAAAATTGGTGAATTTCATGATCCCTGCCCCCCTGGGGCCTGAGGGGTGGGGCCAAAACCACTAAAATTAATGCAATTTTAAAAATCTTCTTCTTTACTCCTGGACATCAAGCAGTCAAACTGTTTGCATGATTGCCACCACTTCTTGGAACGATGATGCAAGAGGTAGTATCCAATCATCTGGTCGCACAAGTCCACATCCTTCATGTGCTGTTGGTAGTCCGCAAGAAGACGAGGGACTTCAACTTGATTCCTGTCTGCAGCCACCCTCCTTGTCACGTGTCCAACATGCTGCGGATCATGGAAGTTGGACAGAACACAAACTGGTTTTGTGTCCTGCCATACACAAAATGTTAACAGGTCATTCTGTGCAACTTTATACTCGTGTTTATCGAGACGAACTTTCGCGGCCAGTAATTCTTTGGGTAGACCTTTTCGGTCTGCTCGAACAGTTCCACAGGCCATTATTCCTCGGATATGTAGGTCACGCAGAAGATCTGGGCTTGTGTAGTAGTTGTCCATGTATACTGTCATATTGCTTCCGAACAAATGGCTGCAAAGATCCATCACTACCCGGTGAGAAAGCCCTTTTTCTTGTCGGCCTTCTCCTTTCCGGTGTACACTTGAAAGCCGTGCATATAACCTGTGTCGCTCTCAGCCATGGTCCACAATTTCACCCCCATTTTGTCGGCTTAGCAGGTAGATACTGCCTGAATCCTAACCTCCCTTTATACTTTATCATGCTTTCATCAACTGTCACAGTTTCATACGGCATATACAGTTCTTTGAATTTTTTATTTAGAAACTCTATGAACCATCTAACCTTCCATAATTTGTCTGGTTGTTCGGTCTGCTCCGTGTTATTTTGCAGGTGAAGGTATCTCCATATTTGCATAAATCTGTCCCGTGTCATAACTCTTCCAAATGAGGTTGTGAATAGCCATTCATTTTGACGCCAGTAGTCTTATTTTGTTGACATTCGAATCAGCTCCATCGCAAAACAAAGTCCAATGAACGCCTTCATTTTTCCTTTGTTTCCCTCTGTCCACTTTGGTGCATACGGAGGGGGAGCGTTTTTCTAACGCTCTTGTTGAGATATGTTCGTTTCTTGGACAAGTCTGTTCCACATTTCTTCTGTCCATATCAAATTAAAGCACTGTCCAGCCGTAGCTTCCTCTAGATGTTTGACTGTAGCACCTGCAACCCTCCGAAATTTCGGTTTTACACGGCTTGTGACTCAGAGATTTTGGAACCTGTGAAACTCGTCATCGTCCTCAGAATCCTTGCCAAAAATATTCATATCCAATCATCTTCGTCACCAGGTCGATCTTCATGATTAATAGCATCATTTTTTTCATCACTTTCATTTATTCATAATCGTTGGTTTTTCACTGGTGATCGTTGGTTTCGCATCGGAGAGTGTTGCAAACAACCTGAACACAAATATGTGATTATTGCCTGGTTAACTAGTATAAATCATAGAGAGGTAAATCATTTTTGTAATCATAGATGAACAAACTTTAATTATATCGAATCTTTGTCATATCTTTCTATAAAAAATATAAAGTCTAAATTGACATATAAAATAGAGCTCATTATGAAAGATCATTTAAAAAAAAAGCATGATCCCTATTTATTCTTTTTTTTTTTCTTAAACATAAAGAACACCATGTACAGTAAGAATATGGTTGAATTTTATTTTATGAAGGTCCTATTTGTAATTCACTAACACGGAGGTTTGTAACAGATCCATTTGGGAACTGTATGTCAAACATTTCATCCAGTGTATAAATTCCCGAGCATTAAAAAGAAAAACTAGCTGGGTTCTATTCAAACACCTGGTGTTCCAATGTCGATATTGAAATTATTTCATGAAGTCCTGAATAATTCACCAACATAGAGGTTTGTAACAGGTCCATTCGGATATTGTCCCCAAGTTCGTTAAGGGCATTCAAAATCTAGGTGGGGTCAATACTGAAATTTTTTCATTAAGTCCTGAATATAATTCACCAACATAGAGTTTTGTAGCAGGTCCATTCGGACATTGTTCACAAGTTTATTCAGGGCATCCAGTTCCTCTTTAAGAGGAAACTGGATGGGTTTATTCCAAAACCCCGGTGCTTCAATCGGCGTAAGTCCCGAGGTTTGAGTTTGGGTTGACAGAGGGACGCCCGGTGGAGACACTGGGCTGTACACAGGCGGGGATTGGGTTTGTGCCCATGTCTCTTGGAACATCGTTGTAGATGCGCTTTTCTCGGTGAACAAATCTCTTGTAGTCATTCTCTTCTCCAATTTATATATTTCGAAGGGTTTTCCTGTCTGTTTCAAAGAAAGTAATGAAACCGTTTTTAAACAACCATATAACAGAATTATACGTTTTAAAATAGTATCAAGGAATTAATTAAAAAAAATATAAGGGTATACATTTAATGTTTTAAGACTTTCAACTACATTTAATCTGTTCAAGACACGGAATATTTGTTGCATAAAAAAACTCGACACTCGAACATAAATTCAATACCTGAAATTTTTCAACAAAGGGTCTTCTTGTTCAACCTGTTGTGTGATCACCCCCCAGGTTGCTTTCCAAATTCTTTTTTCAATTCAAAATTAGGGAATCCTCTGCTTTTTCATTCTTCCTCTTTTTCGATAAAGGGGATTTGTACGGGTCCTTTGGAGATTTTCTATATTTTTTAAAATAAAAGAAAGTGAATTTTAAAAAGAAAAATAAAATTATCTTTGGTCAAAAACGATTCAAAGATGCTTGACTACAGCAGGTAAATTTTAAATATTTTCTGTTTAGATTTTATTTTATTTCTTTATTTCTTTTTGGTTCATCTTCTTTAAGCGCTTAAAAATCAAAAGCAACATATGAAAAGCGTTGAAAGTATCACTTACCCTGAATCAAATATCACAGAAAAGTTGTGCACCAACTCAATCCACTCCTCTTCGAAGTCCTGAAATGTTCGTTCAGATGAAGACGTTACATACTCCTGTTGGTTTTTATTGGTGTCTCTGGAAAAATCAACAAAGAAAATAACTATAAAAGTTTGTTTAGACTTCATTTACATTATAAGACCACCATCAGAAAATATATATGATTTTTATTCAAATTTTAATCTAACTTTTTAATTGGAAAATTTCAAACAACTAAAGTTGCTTTTAAAGTTTTTTTTTTTAAAAAGTATCTACACCTTCGTTTAAAAAATATTTACCATAGTAATAGGAAATATAGCATAAAGTTGAACACTTAATTTTAGCAAGATTATCCATATTTCTTAAACAATTATAACTATAAAAAAAGATTTCTATTAAAATTTATTTTTGCTCAAACATGTTTGTACCATACTCCTGCTTGACGTTTGCAATGATGTATTTTAGGTCCAAGAAAGATAACTTAGTTATATGTTTGTGCACTTTTTTTTCTTTTTTTTTACTTTGTGTGATTGTTCTGCTTTATTTATTAAGTTATATTATTTATAAAAATAAAAAAAATTAAAGTAGAAAAATCTATTTAAATTTTCAAGAATCTAAATAACAATAAATTTTTAACTTATTTCATGTTTCACGTATAGGAATAATATACAATGTTATATCTCAACTTTTATTAATTTGAAAACATTAATCTTTATAAAAATACAATTAACTTTAAACTTTTAAACTTCATTTAAAAAAAATAAATAAAATAACGAGATGTCTTAAGGAAAGGATTGCACGGGTCCGTGAAAAAATTCTGCCCAATGAATTTTTCTCAATTTAACATATAATGTTCCTAATGTCAATGATACCATTATATCAAAGTATCAAGCATGATCATCAGGCTTATAAGGAAGTTATGGTTGCCATGGCAACCATCAGTTTTTAATCTTTTGATATTCATGAGGTAAATGTTTTATACTGCCATACACGCAACAAAATTGAAGCAAATTAAATATTTCCTGCAGGTATTTAAAAATATACTTTATATTTATTGAAAATAAAAATTGTTTCGGAAACTACATGTATTGATAAATGTAGTAATGCCATTGTTTTTTGGGGAAGTATTAATTGTAAATTTGCAGTAATATTTTCACTTCAATAGCAGTTTTTAACGTCTAGACAAAAAATTACCCAATGAATTTTTCCAAAACTAATATATGCTGTACTAGTCATTATAAATGACTTATGGTTAAAATATGAAGTAAGGTAATCAGATTACTTTTGAAGCCACTCGCATTTTAGTACCCCCCCCCCTTTCCTAGAATATCAATAGATTTCAACGATTTTCATTTGATGGATGTTTGTTTGACTTTAAATATGCAGAATCTGTTTAAAGACAATAAAGACCACATGTATAGATATAAAAAAAATTTTTTCTCTGAAAATCTGGCAGCTGATGCTCATTTTATATATGAAAAGCACAATGATTTACTTATCACCGACAGGGGTTACGAAAAAAACTTTTTTTAAAACTCAGTTTTTCATCTCCAAAACATTCATTTTGTTACTAACTATATCAGTATAATATAAATAATATATTAAATATCAGTGCACAGTCCTCAAAAGCCTTATTCCCCATGCTTTGAACGCTCTGCGATGTTTCTTCTTAATGACCTGGAATCGAGGAGTTGGGGTTGGGGGGTTGGGGAGGGGTCAGACATTTAAACACATTAAATGAAAAGAGGTTATTTTACATTGTACTTGTAGCTGCATTATAGATATTTTTTAAATAAATATATTCATCCATAAATTATCAAATTTGCCAAATTAATATAATTCTAAATAATTATATTCACATTTACAAATAGTTTTTCTTCCCATTACTTTCAAGTATATAAGTACACTTCATTTTCTCCTGTACATGGATTAGCGCTATCTCCATTGTGACGTCACAATGACACAATTGACGTCAAAACCTTAGATCAACTGATTTGATTGTAAAAAATAATTATTGATTGAAATAACTTTCCGTTGCTTTGTGATATACGCTGGAGTGAAAAATCTATGTTAATGTCCTTGTGATTAAAAAAAAAAATTCAAATGTATTCCCATAAGCATGATGAGTGCACATGTTTCTTTTATTTATTTACATGTATGTACATATATTCCCTAGTATTCTTTCAGAAGAAGTGTGTTGTGTTTCAATACGACGCATAAAACAATTTACAACAATCGTTTAATTTATATGTGCGACGATGATTGAATGTTGACACGGTCGATGTCACTGCTGAAATGCTAAAGATCTTATAGGAGAAAAGAAAATCCTTTAAGATATCTTTTAAAGATTGTCTTCTAGGCACAAGTGGTCTTCATCGTAACACGTTTATCAAAATCGCCTTCGTTCATCAATATTTATACATGTATCTAGTAAATCACGCCGTCTGAATCTCTTTTCGGAAATTATCTATATATTGATGTAGATCCTATGATAAAGAACAATTTTAATTAAAATTCTTATTTTTAAATGAAGATATAAACCTCAAGATATTAATCAAATTGATTTTTAATGAAATTGATTTCAAAGTTCAGAGATATACAATAGATAGACGTGTCAA